TAGTTGAAGTGCTCCTGTGGGGAGGGGCCGAGCACCCATGGCTGTGCCAGCGGGGGCTCACGGGGGGGCACCCGGGAGGTGGAGCACCCGAGTCCGTGAGTACCCATGTCCATGGGCATCATCATCCATGAGCACCCATGTCCATGGGCATCATCATCCATGAGCACCCATATCCATGGGGCACCCATGTCCATGGGGCATCCTTAACCATGAGCACCCATATCCATGGGCACAATCATCCATGAGCACCCATATCCATGAGGCACCCATGTCCATGAGCATCATCATCCCTGATCACCATGGGCACCCATGCTCATGGAGACCTTGTGCCTGTGCACACTCATGGGAGGCACCCACGGGGCACCCGTGTCCATCAGCACCCATTCCAGGGGGTACCCATGTCCTTAAGCACCGTCATCCATGAGCACCCATGTCCATCACCCACCTGTCCTACAGACACGTGTCGGTCCCCCATGCCCATGGACACGCACCCATGTGTATGAGCACCCATCCCATGAGCACCGTTATCCATGAGCATCCATTCCATGAGCACCGTTATCCATGAGCACCCATCCCATGAGCACCATTATCCATGAGCACCCATCCCATGGAGCATCCGTGTCCATGAGAGCACCTTCATCCATGGGGTACCCACATCCATTGGCCACCCATCCTACAGACACTTGTAGGTTCCCTGTGCCCATGGACATCCACATCTACACCCACCCAGGTCCCTGAGCACCCATATCCATATCCATATCCACATCCATATCCATATCCATATCCATATCCATATCCATATCCATGAGCACCCATCCCCTTGGAGCACCCATGTCCATGGGACACCCATGTCCTTGGTCACTCATAAATACCCACACCCATGAGCACCCAAGTCCATGAACACCCACACCCATGGGGCTCCCGTGCCCATGGATACCCAATATCCACCTTAAGGAGCACCCAGTCCCATGGGGCTTCTACACCCATAAAAGCACACACTCACATCCATGAGCACCCGTGCCAGAGGGTACCCATGTCTATGAGCACCCATGTCATGGGGTTCCCAGCCCCATGGATACCCACACCCATGTCTATGAGCACCCATATGCACGAGCACCCATGTCCATGTGGTCTCCATGACCACACCCACACCCACCCACACCCGTGGGGTGATCCCCCCACCCCCAGACCCCACCCCTGCAGCCCCCGGGGCCTCACCTTGCCCAGGAAGTGCTTGCGGTAGATCTTGGCCGTGTGGTTGCCCTCCAGCTTTGCCCGCGTGCCGGGGGCCGGCGTGGGGGGCGAGTCGGGGGTCCCGCTCAGCTGGTGGTTGGTGCCCTCGATCCAGTAACCCCCGAACTGCGGCAGGAGGATGAGGGGGAACGGCCCCTCCCGGCCCAGCACCTGCACCCAGTGACACGGTGGGTGCTCTGGGCACCCACCCCCTCCTTCCCCCCCCCAGCAGCCGTCACCCCCCTGTCTGGAGGGGTGGGTGCTGTACCTCATGCACGCTGGGGTAGGGGATGTAATCCTCCTCCGTCTGCAAGACAACGGGCGAGTGATGGCCACAGTAGCACCCAGGAGTGCTGGGGTGGGCCATGACCATGCTGGCTCCCATGGGTGCTGCTCGGGTGCCCCCCAACGACACCTACCTTGAGTGGCGGGGGGGCGGCGTGGCGCTGCTGGGCCATCCTGCTGACCTGGGGAGATGGGGACTGTGGGTGCCCGTCACCCCACTGGGGATGGGCACCCTTGGGTGGGGGGCACTCCATGGGGGCTTACCCGGGGGTAGGGTGGTGGTGCTGGCTGCAGACACGTCTAGGTGGTGCGAGAGGGTCCGGGGGGGCCCATGGCGCTTCCTGGGGGAGAGGAGAACTCCCCCACAGCCCCTCGCTGGGACGCCCGGGCAGCGGTGCCACCCCTGGAGCCGAGGGATGGCAGCGGGGCAAGGGCCACCCTGCCAGGGCCGCCCGGCTGCGGGGCCGGGGGGCGGGAGCGGGGGGTGCGGGGTCACTGCACGGGGGGGTCCGGCCGCTGAGACCCCCCAGCTCATCGCACCCACCCCCACCCCGAGGGGCTCCCTCTGCCGGCGGGAGGCGGCGGCGCGGGGGCAGCACCACGGACAGCGCCGGGCACCGGGACCCGCCCCGGGCAGCGGTCACCGACCCCGGCAGTGCCACCGACCCCGGCAGTGCCACCGACCCCGACAGTGCCGCCGACCCCGGCAGTGCCACCGACCCCGCGTCAATTTGACCATCCCTGTGCCGGCGTCACCGACCCGGTGCCAATGTCACCATCCCCGTGCCAGTGTCACCGACCCCAGGAAAGTATCACCAACCTCGTGCCAATTCGGCCATCCCCGTGCCAGTGTCACTGACCCGGGACCAGTGTCACCATCCCCGTGCAAGTGTCACTGACCCCGTGCCAGTGTGGCCATGCCCCTGCCAGTGTCACCAACCCCATGCCAGTGTCACCAAACCCCCACGCCAGTGTCACCGACGCAGTCAAAGTGTCACCATCCCCGTGCCACGGCACAAGCTCCAGGCAGGGAGGAGGGGGGGCTGGCATTGGAGGGGTGGGGGATTGGCAGGGACATCCCCGGGAACACGCCAGGGTGGGGACAGGGCAGGGATGTGACAGGGCCAGGGCCACCATGCAAGTGTCACCGTCCCCGTGCAAATGCCACTCTCCCCGCGTCAGTGTGACCATCCCCGTGCCAGTGTGACCATCCCCGTGCCAACGCCACAGTCCCCGTGCGAACGCGACAGTGGTGCAAGCACAGCCCCGGTGCAAACGTGCCCCGGGCCCGCACAAACACAATGACGCCCCCGGTGCCAAGGGGACCCCCGCGCCAAGGAGGTGCAGCCGAGCCCCGTCCCTGAGCAAACACGGCCGTGGTGCAGCCCCAGCGCGGTGCGGGTGCGCCCCAGCCCTGAGCAAACACAGCCGCAGCCCGGCACAGCCCCGGGGCACGTGTGACCCGGCCCCGAGCCAGCGCGACCCCGCTGTGCCCGTGCCAGCGCGACCCTGGTGCCAATGCGACACTGCCACCCGTCCCCGTGCCAACGCGACCCTCGCGCAGACGCGACCCGTGGCACCCCTGGGCCGCAGCGTGACCCGGCCGGGCTGGGGGTCCTGGGGGGGCTCCGTTATCCCTCACCCCCCTCCCAGCACCCAGCTTGGGGGTCAGTCCCGGGGAGGGTGGGGGGCAGCACTGGGGGTGCCCTAAATGTGGTGCCAGGCTGGGGGGCACAGGTTGGGTTTGGGGGGTGGACGTGGGAAGCAGAGTGGGGAGACTGGGGTAGGGGGAGAAAATGATGAGGGGCAGGAGGGCGGGGAGGCAGATTTTGGGGTATCCGGGGGGGGCGTAGGTTTGGGGAGGGCAGGATGCAGGGTGTAACTGTGGGGGAGATATCGTGGGGATGGACTGGGGGGTAAATGGGGGACGCCTCCCTCCAGCCCCCTCCCCAACCCACCTCTTTCCTCCCCAGGCCCGGAGCATCCCCCCGCCATCCCCTCCCCCGGTACCGGCGGCACTGAAGGTCACCGGCGGACGGACCCCCCGGTGCTGCGTCGGGGCCGGGGGGACACCCCGAGGGGGGGTTCTGCGCGGGGCCCCCCGTGCCCGGTCCCCTCGGCGCGGCACTTACCGGGGGCGGCGGGGCCGGGGCGGTCCCGGAGCGGGGCCGGTACCGAGCGGAGCCGAGCGGGGCCCCGGCGCTCGCTGCCACCGCGCAGCGTCACGTGCGGCGGGGCGGGGCGGCCCCTCCGGGGGCGGCGGGACCGGGCACCGGCACCGGGAACCGGGAACGGCACCGGGAACCGGGAACGGCACTGGGAACCGGGCACCGGCACCGGGAATCCCACCGGGATCCGGGAACGGCACCGGGCACTGCACCGGGAACCGGGCACCGGCACCACGGACACACCGCCAGACACCGGCACCGGGAAAACGGCGCCGGAATCGGGCACGGGGATCTGCAACCGGGGATCCCCCCTCCATCCCTGATGTCACCCCCAGGGTGTCCCCTCCCTCCCCAGCGCACAAGTCCCCGCAGACGGAGGGACCCCCCAGACCCCGGGAAGGAGGGTGTCCCCCCCACCCGCGGTTGGTACCCGGGCACCGCTCTGCCCGTCACCCGCACCCACCACCTTAATTTGGCTGGCGTGGTTCCCCCCACATCCCTCCCTGGGACCCAGAGCAGCCCCCCACTATACCCCCACCTCCCCATTCCTGGTACCCAGGGAACCCTCATATCCATCCCTGGTACCCAAGGTCCCCTTATCCCCAGTCTCTCCATCCCTGGTACCTCAGGTACAACCCCCCCCTCCTCCATAACCCCCCATTCCCGGTACCCAGGGAACTCCCCTTAAACCCTCCCCCGTTCCCAGGGTGCCCCCACATCCACAGCCCCCCACTTCTGATACCCAGGGTACCCCCACATCCACAGCCCCCCACTTCTGATCCCCAGGGTACCTCCCTCCCCACCCTTAACCCTCCATCTCTGATACCCAGAGTGCCCCCCATCCATATCTGCACCCCGGGCACCCCCTCCACCCTTCCCTGGCACTCAGGGCACCCCACCCACCCCAAACCCCATTCCCAACCTCCCCCATCCCTGGCACCCAGGGTACCCCCAATCACCCCAAACACCCTCTCATCCCCCACCAGCACCCAGGCCATGAGTGACCCCCCACCCAGCACCCACCTCCCCGTCCCAGGGGACCCCCCAGCTCAGGGACCCCAAGGAGGGGCTGGCATGGCCTCCAGGGGGGAAGGAGCCAGGGAGCCCCTGGGGACACACAGGGGGGATGGGACAGGGCCAGGGCTCCATAAACCCATCCCCTGTGCCAAGGGTGGGGGGATTCCCATTCCAGCAGGATCCCACTCGCTCCCATCCCATCCCACCCTGGGGACAGCTCGGAGCGGGATTTATGGGATAACCCCCCCCTTTGCTCCACCACCCTCATCCCACGTGTCTGCACTGCAACGAGGCTGCCACGGCTCCAATGACAACTTTAATCCGATAATATTTGCAAATAACAGACAGAACGGGAACGGGGCCCTGGGATCACACCTGGGACCTGCAGTCCTCCGGAGGATCCGGCGCTGCCGGAACCGCCGCGGCCCCGGAACACCCCCAGGGCTCCCCAGGATCCCTTCCCACAACAGGATAAGCTCAAGGAAGAGATTTTTGTGGTGGTTTTTATATATATATATATATATATAACATTAAAAAAAATGAACAGCAACTTGAAAAGATGGAATTTCCAAGGAATATGTACACAAGTGAGTGCTTCAGGCTGGGAAGAAAAAAACCTCCTGTGGCTTCGGCACATGGAATTCCTCATGTCTGTACCTTGGGAAAGAATCCAAACTGCCCCAAAAAACCCACTTCCTAAAAGCTTTAGAACCCCTCAAATGGTGCTGCTTCACCCCCAGATCCAGCAGGGACAGGGGAGAGGGGGTTTGGCAAAGAACAGCTGGAATTCTCGGGATAAAACCTTGGAAATCAAACCTTGGAAATCAAAACTAGTGGGGTTTTGGGGGGTGGGATTTGTGCCCCTCGTCCCTCTTCTTGCATCCCAAATTCCCACAAACCTTGACAAAATAAAACTGAGTGATCTCCATGTCGTGTTTTTCCAGGGAAACAAGGGAAAAGGCTGGAAAGGAAGAGGAAACCTGGAACGGCATCGGGAACCGCGCTGGGACAGAGATCCCTTGGCAGTGTCTGTTATGGATCAGTCTGGAAATGGGATAGTTCCTGCTAAATACTAATGGGGAGAAATCCTTGCTGGGAGATGTTAAAAGAAAAAAAAAACAAAAAAAATTAGTGCATTGCTGAAAAATGAGGATAAGGGGGGGGGAAAAAAACCCTCTTCCCATGGGAATCACCTCCCACCTGCACCCTCCCGCTGGCTCCGGCTGTCCCAAGCACTCCCAGAAGAAAATGTTCTCCAGAGTCACTAAAACACCCCAAATAACAAAAAAAAAACCCAAACAAAAAACCCAGTTCCCAGAGCCCAGGTGGCTCCTGGATCATCCAAGGTGTGGAAGTGGCGGAGGGATGCGGAGAGGGGAAGGTTTGGGAAGCAGATCCCAGCTCCCATTTGGGGTGAAACCAATGAAGATTTTGTTGTGTGTGTGTGCGCCAGACATTCCTCACCCAGTCCCAACTCCTGCCACTTCCAAGTGGGCCTGACAGTGGATCAGAGACGGGGTTATCCCAGAGAGAGGAGGATGGAGCAGGAGGGTTGGGATCTACGGGATCACTGGACACCCCCTCGCCCCGAACACACCGACTGCTGCTCAAGTTCCCAACCTCGCTGTTGTTTATTTGCCAGCCCCGGGCCGGCTCTCCTGGAGCAGGGATGTCCTTCAGTGCAATCTGCTTTGACATAAGGCATTGGTTTGGTTTGCTGTGGGGAGCACACGCCTCGCTCGGGGTTTTTCCTGCCTCCTGGAAGAGTCACAAAGTCCCGGATCCACCTTTTTTTTTTTTTTTTTTTTTTGTTTTCTTTTTTTTTTTTTTTTTTTTTTTTGGTTTTTTTTTGTATGCTTTGAATGCCCTACCACGTCCCACATCCTCTTCCCTTCGGGTCGCTCCTCTTGGAAAACCATCAGTGGCCGAGTAAACCAGTCCCTGGGGGGGGGGATAAAACAGCACCAGGGGATGAGGAGGGAGGTGGGATGGGGGTGGAATTTGGGTAAAAAGATGAGGGGGAAATCACCCAAACTCACCTTTAAATCCCTCTTCAGGCATACAAACTGGGATGGGAGGGAAAGGAAGGCGTTAGGAGTCGTGCCGATGGATCAACATCCCAAAATTGGCAAGGAAGTGCCACAATCCCCCTTTTCCACCTTTCCCACCCAAATTCTTGGCCCCCCCCAACCTTCCCCCTCCCCTCTGACCTTGCATAACGTCGTCCATCGCCGCGTAATCCGCGATGGGCTCATCAGCCTGGAAAAAACACGGGAATACGGGAATGGAGGAGCCCAGGGAGCCACCTCGGAGGGGAGCAGGAACATGGGAATGCCAGGGGAGATCATTCCCTAATTCAGCTGGATTTGGGGCTGGGACCCACAGAGCTCAGCAGCAAAACCAGCCAATTGAAGCCCTTGGGAAGAAAAAAATAAAGATTTCCCCCCCAAAAACAAAAAAAGAAATAAGGATTTTTCTCCTCCAAAATGAAAAAAAGGTATTCCTCCTCTGAAACAAAACCCATCAGGATTTTCCTCCTCCAAAATAAAAAAAATGAGGATTTTCCTCCTCCAAATCAACAAAAAAATGGATATTCCTCTTCCAGAGCGAAAAAAGATAAGGATTTTCTTCCTCCGAAACAAACAATAAAACAATGTGGATTTTCCTTCTACAAAACAAAAACCTGAGGATTTTCCTTCTCCAAAACAAGTATTTTCCTCCTCCAGAAAATAAACCAAAAAGAGAATTTTCTTCCTCCAAACCAAAACCAATAAAAAGAAGGATTTGCCATCTCCAAAATAAAAAAAATGAGGATTTTGCTCTTCCAAAGCAAACTGGATATGCCCCCTCCAAACCAAAAAAAAATTATGGATTTTTCTCCAGCAAAACAAGTGTTTTCCTCCTCAAAAAAAAAACCAAAAACACAACAACAACAAAAAAACCACAAAAAAAAAACCCAAAAAGAGATTTTCCTTCTCACAAACAAAACCAATAAGGATTTTCCTCCTCCAAAACAAAAGAAAACCAGGATTCTCCCCCTCCAAAAGAAAACCATAAGGGTTTTTCTCCTCCAAAACAAAAAAATTCGAGGATTTTCCTCCTCAAAACCAAGACTAAGCAGGATTCTCCTCCTCCAGGAAGGGGCTCTGTGAGGAACTCCCTGAATTTTCCTCAATTTTCAGAGGTCCCACCACGCATTTCCCTTTGACTGCACGAACCCAGCTGGGTTTTGGGCTGGATCCCTGTGGATTTTGGGCTGGATCCCTGTGGATTTTGGGCTGGATCCCTGTGGATTTTGGGCTGGATCCCTGTGGATTTTGGGCATATCCCTGCGGATTGTGGGTGGGATCCCTGTGGATTGTGGGCTGGATCCCTGTGGATTTTGGGCTGGATCCCTGCGGATTTGGGGCTGGATCCCTGTGGATTTGGGGCTGGATCCCTGTGGATTTGGGGCTGGATCCCTGTGGATTTGGGGCTGGATCCCTGTGGATTTGGGGCTGGATCCCTGTGGATTTGGGGCGGGTCCCCATGGATTTGAGTGGGATCCCCATGGATTTGGGTGGGATCCCCATGGATTTGGGTGGGATCCCCATGGATTTGGGTGGGATCCCCATGGATTTGGGTGGGATCCCCATGGATTTGGGTGGGATCCCCATGGATTTGGGGTGGATCCCCATGGATTTGGGGTGGATCTCCATGGATTTGGGGCGGATCCCCCACGCACCTTGAGCAGGATGACGGACTCAGGGATGACGCCCAGGCTGCCCAGCGTGGCCGTGTCGTCGCTCAGGATTTTGCCGTCGATGGACAGGTTCTGGTCGAAGGGGGCCACGGAGAAGGCGTGCATGATCTGGGACAGGGACACGGCCCGTGGAGCAGGGGTGGGGCACTGCAGAGCCCCCAGATCCCACCCCAATCCCCAACCTGCTCCACCCAAATTCCTACTCCCACCCACCCTGATTCCTACCCCAACACAACCCCACCACCCCAATTCCCACCATAGCGCAACCCCCTCAACACATCCCACCCCAATTCCAACCCCAACACAACCCACCCCAATTCCAACCCCAACACAACCCACCCAATTCCAACCCAACACAACCCACCCCAATTCCAACCCCAACACAACCCACCCATTCAACCCCAACACACCCCCCAATTCCAACCCCAACACAACCCACCCCAATTCCAACCCCAACACAACCCACCCCAATTCCAACCCCAACACAACCCACCCCAATTCCAACCCCAACACAACCCACCCCAACACAGCCTTCCCACACCCCAATTTCCCACCACAACCCCTCCAATTCCCATACCAACACAACCTAATTCCTAATTCCATCCCCTACATAACCCACTCCAATACAACTCCCACACCCCAATTTCCCCCATTCCAGCACAACCCCACCCCAATTCCCACCCTAACACAACCCCCTCCAATTCCCACCCCAACACAAGCCCCAATTCCACCCCATCACAACCCCCTCCAACACATCCCAACTCCCACACAACACAATCCCCAATTCCCAACCCAACCTAACCCATCCTGACACAACCCCCCCACTTCCCACTCCACCGCACCCCACCCCAATTTGACCCCATGTGGGATTTCAGACCCTTCCCCTCCCTCCCCACACTCTTGGTTTGATGGTTTTTACTCATTCCTGGCAGGACTCTCTCCCCCCACCTGTATTTTCAGTTCTTTCAGGGTCTGGTTGGCCGACACCAGCAGGGCCTTCTCCCCTCGGACCTTCCTGTGCCGGGTGCTCCTCCTGATTCCCTGTTTTTGGTAGGTGATGTAGCTCTGCTGGGAGAGCTTCTGGCGTTTCGTGCCGCCGTTGGCCTGGAGAGGAGGCAAAACCCCAGGAGATCGAGTTATTTGGGAATAACCAAAACTTCTCCATAGCCCAGAGGGTGTTTGGGGTGAGCTGGTCATGCGAGGGAAGGCGGGAAGCGATGGAAAACCCCTTGGAAAGCCAAGTGTGCAAGTGTGGAGAAGAACAAAGGATTTGCCTTCAAGCCTCAGCTCCTGGTCCTAACGCCAGCGTGGGGCAGATTTCCACGTGCAGATGAGTCCCTGTCTGTGTTTAACCTCTCCAAAAACCAGCATTGGTGTGGTCTGACCACTCAGGTGACACTTTGAGACACGTTTCCCCCGCCAGGTGGACACAGAGGAGGAGGAGGGAGGTGACCCCACCGTGCTGACTCCAGGGGATGATGCAAAAACCAAGAAACCTGCTGGGATTTTTCATCTCTACCTGGTTAAAATCGGGGTCCTGCTCCCCCTCTGGCTTGTTTTCCTCCCTTTCCTCTTCAGCCTCCGAGCTGCTCACGTTCAGCTCCGGAGCCGCGTCCTTCATCACCTGGAGTCACAAAAACCGTTCTGCTGTGACCAACGGCCCCCACCCGCGCTGTCCCACCACGGAATCAGCTCCTGGAGACCTTCCCGGTGCCACCTCCACCCCCAGAGCCCGGCAACGACCCCATTTTGGGAACTGCTCCAGGAGCTCTGCAAAGGCTCCTCCACCCTCCCCAGCTGCGTGGGACCTCGGGGGGATTGGGCTCAGGAATGCCCCTCCATGGAGCTGCAGGTGCTTCCTGCCCTTCTCTCCAGGCAGAGGGAAAGTCTCCCGAGGCCTGGACTGATTCCTTTCCCATTAGCTGGTTGATCCAAGTGTATTACAAAAGGCTCACCATGGAGAAAGGAATATTATCTGTAAATTAAGACACTTATCCCTCCCTGCAGAAGGACTCAGAACCATTGTTTACGGGGCTGCAGGGTGTAAGTAAATGAAACCTAAACAATTCACACAAATACATAAACAAAAGGGGTGTTCAGGTCCGTGGAAGTCACTCCATGGATTTGCCTGGATGTGAATTCCCATCTATGCTGTGGCCAGAGCTGGGGTTGCAGGAGCTCAGGAGACCTGGATGCCCAAGAGCTCACGATTCCATCGATATATTTAAAATTATCGACGCAATCCCAGCTCCCAAACATTCCCCAGAGCTTTCGGAATTCCAGCAGTGCCCTCCTACAATGATTTTATCTGGATGGGGCTTTCCTCTTGCACCCCAAGGAGGTACCAGGGGGAGGAGAAGAAGTGAAGGGCTGGGAAACACTCCCTGCCTTTGCAGGGCCCAGCAGGAAGGACACAGTGGCTCCCAGTGCTCCTGGCTGGCATTCCCACCGCTTCCCATCCCCGCCCCGTTACTGAGGGAATCTCGTGGGCACTCTCTCGCCCCCTCTCTCCAGCTCCAGCTGCTCCACAAAGAATAGCTCCCTGTTTTTCTGCCAGCCCCACGTGTGAGCAGAGTCCTGGCCAGTGCCAGAAAAACACAACCCCCAACCCTGTCCTGCGGCGCAGCCGAGGCGGATCCAGCCTCGGGATTCAGGCTGACGGCTCCAGACGTGCTGCTGTTCCACGTCTCACGAGCCAGGCAGGAACCCATCCAGCCTCCGGCTCCCTGCGGTTCTCCGGGCTCCAGCGCCTCCTTAGGATTGGCAGGGAGGTGGAAATCAATGGAAGGCCAAAAAAAAACCCAACCCACTCCCACCCTGCAGAAGTGCAGGGAATGTCTTGATCCGAGTGCCCACCAGCCTTGGCTCCTTCCTTAAACGCTCTAAGTTCCACCATAACCAGGTTTGTGTCCCTGGAAAAGCAATTCTGGAGTTGATCCTGACACTTAAGATCAGCAAAAACATAATTTGCAGCTTCAGGGGATCCTGAAAACCATCTCGGAGTTCAGCCTCTCCCAAGCACCAAGGGGAAGAGCTTATTTCTATCCAGGGATAAATGTCACTCGAGCAAGAAGAAAGGAAATGACAAATATTGGAGGGGGAGGAGAGCAGGTAGAGCCTGGGAACGCAGCTGAGACAGAAGAAACGGCTGGGAGCATCCCTGAAAACACAAAGGATTCCGTTTGGCAGAAGGAGCCCGAACGTTCCCGTTTGCCGGTTCGGCCAAAGCTGGAGCTGCAGAGCTGGGGGATTTCTGCCCTCACCACCACCAGGGACCCCAGAGCAGGTTCCAGCCCTGGGGGCTGTGAGACCCCCCCCTCAGGGCGTTGCTGGGGCTCCCTGAGCAGGAGGGAGGGGGAGCCTGTCCGTACCTTTTTGTTATCCACCACTTTGTGCACGTACACCGTGGCCTGGGTGTACTCGCGCAGGTCCCGCTGCTGCTGGCACAGGAGCCCTTCCCGGCACTCCGGGCACAGCTCTGGGAAGAAAGCAGATTTAATATGTTAATAAACATATTTAATATGCTAATATGTTTAACAAACATATTTGCAAGGGAAAAAACCCCATATTTAATTGCTTCAGCTCCTCAGAGGCCCCGTCCCAGTGCCTCTCACTGCCAGCCCGGAGTGGATCAATTGAATTCCTGAATGGTTTGGGTTGGGAAGAACCTTAAACCTCATCCTTGCCATGGGCAGGGACACCTTCCACTTGCTCCAAGCCCTGTCCAACCTGGCCTTGGACACTCCCAGGGATGGGGCAGCCACAGCTTCACTGGGTAACCTGTGCCAGGGCCTGCCCACCCTCACAGGGAAGGATTCCTTCCCAATATCCCATCTAAATTTCCTTTTAGTTTAAAACCATTCCTCCTTGTCCTGTCCATCTGGGCCCTCTCCAGCTCTACTGGAGCCCCTTTAGGCCCTGGGAGGGGCTCTCAGGTCTCCCTGGACTTTCCCTTCCCCAGGTGAATCCCCCCAGCTCTCCCAGCCTGGCTCCAGAGCAGAGGGGCTCCAGCCCTGGGAGCAGCTCTGGGGCCTCCTCTGGACTTGCTCCCACAGCTCCAGGTGGGGAACCTGCCAAACTCCACCTTTACCACCAACCCCCCTCAGACTTCATTTCTTATCCCAACAAGAGCCATTCCCACAGCCCAGGGAGCAGAGCCACTCACGGGGCTCCGAGGTGTAGCGGGTGCCCTCGGGCCCCTGCGTCCGGGTGATCTTGATGACGTGATCCACCACGAAGAGCTTTTGGATCCTCTCCCACTCGCTGGGCCATATCAGAGCTATACTGTGCAAAGGAACAGGCAGGTGCTTTATGACATGGAAAAGCCAAGCTCTCCCGCCCCCCCCAAAAAAAAAACCCCAACCCTTCCTCTTTGGCATTTTAGAAAAAGAACACTGGTAAAATCCACCCCAAAATCAGCTGCAGGGGAGGGCCTGCACACCCTGATGGCGGCAGGCTGTGATTAGTGACGCTGCTGTGCTCCCGCCGTGCCGGAGGGAGGGATGGAGGAGGGAAGGAGGGGAAGATTTCCTACTTTTAGTGCTGCATCACTGCAGAAGCAACGCCACGGAGCACCAAGTGCAGCGCTCGGTGGTGGTGGGGGAACACACACAGAAAGCAAATTGTAAGGAAGAAGGATGTTCCTGAGCCCCGGTCAAATCCAGGGTGGTTATTGTCAGGAACTATCCAAGCTGAAGGAAGATCTTTTTTCCTGACCCAGCATCCTTGGGCAATTTAGGTCTTGCCTTGCAGGAAGGCTGAGGTGGCTCTGAGAAAGCCGAGGTGTTGATTCAGTTCGAGGGAAAGGATTCGCTCCCCGTCTCGCTGCGGCTCAGCAGCAAGAACATTCCTTCTGGACTGTTGTCCTGGTGAAAGGAAAACGTGTGAAGGGAAGAAACTCACTGTTTGGAGTCTTCTTTGGTCACGGAAGCGAAGGTGAACATGAGCCCCCCGTGGGGGCAGAGCAGGATACTGTTGGCTATGGAGGACACGGGGCTGCAGCGCGTCGGCCTCCTGCGAAAGGGAAGGAGGTTTGGAGAGATGCACCAGCTTATCCCACCAAACCCCCCCCCAGGTCCTGCAGGCAGCCAAGAAGAAATCACAGGTGAATTATTTACAGAAGGCATTCCAACATGGAATATTAACTACAAGTGATGAGGAAATCAGATCCACGTTCCTCTGTGTTGCAAAATGATTCTGTCCAGGGGAGATTTCCATCTCCAGCCCGTGCAAACAGGACCGAGAGGTGACCTTTGGGCTACAGCTCCAGACAGATGAAAAAACTAATCAGGTTACCAGCTAATCCGACCATCTGGTTAACACATGGTAAACAAGGAAACTCAGTGTTGTACAACCAACACAAGCCCTGCAAAAATCAGCTCCCTTGTTTCCACGAACCCACCGTGCCGGGATTCGGAAGCAAAATGTTACCTACAGCCCCCAAAATATGGGATAAAAAAAGCACCAAAACCCTCCAGCCAAAGTTACCTGACAAATTTCCTCCATTCTTCTACAAAGTACTGCGAAACAATGTACAGCTCATCTGTCTCCTGGGGGGAAAAAGAGAAGGAAAAGGGATCTTTTTAATGAACCCAGCAATAGGTTTGTCGGCAGCGCTCGCTCCCTCCGAGGCCTCGGCACGGTTTTACCATGACAACTCCATCCAAGCACGCTGGGAAAGCCAAGGAAAATAATTTGGGATCAAGTACTAAGCACTGACTTTACTAATCTCCTGTTTATTACAAAGTTAGTCAAGCTTTCAATCCAATTACCTTTAATTCCCAGTGGGAAAGGGGCATTTCCCTGGAGCAGCGAAGCGCTGTTTTCTCTCGCTGGGTACTCGTGGTCAGAGACCACCCCAACCTCCCTCCCTTGCTTCCAACTTCAAAATCCACAGGTTTTTCCTTCTGGCAGCAGCAGGAATAAAAAACCCCAGCTGTGCACCCAACAAGGCAGTGTTTTTGGGATAAGTCCTGTCTTCTTGTCCCAGTTTACCATTAAATTGTTTGCTCCTGAACGAAAAACCACCCAGATCGAAGAGCTGGGTGACAAAATCACTTCCATGATCATCTCTGTCCTCACCATCTTCCCTACCATGGATTTAAGGGCTTGCTCCATCTTTCTTCAGGAAAACTCAGCACATCTGAGGAATATATATATTTTTTTAATCTCCCTTCATCTCTAGATCAAACCACTCTGATTGTTTTCCTCCCCAGACCTCAATTGGTTTGGATCAGGAAAACTCCAAAAACCTGAGGGAAAGATCCTCAGCTTTTATCAGGCTCCCTTGGGAAATTCCAAGGGAAAGGAGGATCCAAAGGGAACAGAAGACGCAGCCTCCCTAGTGGAGAGGCTCCTGTTTCCAACCAACAGTGATGGGCTCCAGCTTTCCATCACCTCCTCCAGCTCCAAAGGTAAATCCTGCCAGATACAACCCTTTAACACTCCTGGCAGGACCTGGAGCTCTCGAGCTCAGCACAGATGGGAAACTCCCTTTAAACCTTTTTGAGTCTCTTGGTTCCAAGCCATGGATCCATCAGGATTCATTCCCAGCTGGAGCAGCGAGGGACCGAGGCAGAGACCTGCCAAAGCACCTCGGCAGGGTTGGAGAGCCAACCATTAATCAGCACCACGAGACTCCCAGGAGCCAAGGACTGAACCAAGAGCTTGTTCCATTCCTTTTGGGCCACCCTAAATCCCCAAAAAGTCCCGGAGAAGCCGTCAGGAGAGGGTTTGCACGGCTGTCCTGGCTCTTTGGAGGATGTCAGTATTTTGGGGAGTTCCTCCTGAGCTCTTGGGATGAAGGAGGATGCTGGGGTACACCTGGAGCAGCCAAAGCTGGTGGTGGGGCAGAACTCAGGTGTGTTCCAGCATCCTCCAAGCTGGGAGGGCTGAGGGAAAGAGGTAGAGAAGCTGCTTCCACCGGTGCGGCCGTGGCGTTTCCGTCCTTCCAGGGACGGATACAACCCCAGCAGCAACACTGTCCCTGTTATCTGGCTGACTCTGGGCCAGCCACAGCTCCCTTGGCACAGGAGCCATTCCTGTGGCTCTTTAGGGCTCTGTGCCAGCACAGCTAATCCAGGGAAATCACACCTCAGCACAGCACACGTGTCAGCTCCGCTGGCACAGACCGAGAGAATGCTCGTGGAGAGGGTTGGGTTGGAAGGGACCTTAAAGACCTCATTCCACCCCCCTGCCATGGGCAGGGACACCTCCCACTAGCCCAGGTTGCTCCAAGCCCTGTCCAGCCCGGCCTGAAACACTTTCAGGGATGGGGCAGCCACAGTTTCTCTAGAAGGAGAGGGATAAAAGCCAATAAAACCTCCCCAAGCCCGGCTGCATTCCCTGGTTCCCCTCCTTCCCTACCTGAGGCCAACTGCCCAGGCAAGGCCTGCATTTGTCATGGAACAGGTTCTGGAGAGAAGTCTTCTGCTCACTGGCCATCATCTTATGCAGCGCTTCGCTTTCCTCCCCTTCACGCTCCAGAATCTGCAGGAAACAGTGAATTCCATCCCAGCTGTGCTAAAAGGTGACATCACTCTCCTCCACGGCACAGGGTCGTGACAAAAGGCAAGCCAGAAACACAACCAGTATTTACAGTCAACAAAAAGGGAATATTTGTCCAAATACCTTGCACTGGGAACAGCACTCTTTGTTGTTTGGGAATTCGGGGGCTTTTGGGAAATATTGCTTGAGCTTCTCCCAGGCTTCCTTGGAAACCACCCTGCGCTCGTTCTCGGAGATGCACAGGTCACCTGCAGGGAGAGAATCAAGGCAAGGGCTTTGATCACAACATGCTCAGGGGATGTTTTGCAGCCCTTGATTGAAGAGATTACAGGGAATAAAGGTGGGGGAAGAGATCCACACGTTTAGCAGCCAAAACCACGTCAGCAAAAAACCAGCCCAGCCGACAAAGTCACCTTCAACTCTTGCCTTGCTTCCCTTAGACAGGGAAAATAATAATAGTAATAATAATAATTTTAATTCATAGAAATGTCCTTTGGATTTGCCAGCTGATCAAAAACAAGCAGGGATGCTGGGAAAAGCCAAAGAGGGCACAGGGCTACTGGTTCCTCATCCACAGTTACATCCCCGTGGTGCCTCTGTGTCCCAAGCACCCCATTAACCCCATGGAACAGGAGCCAGGTGCTCTCCACATCCTTGAAAACCCCAAATTCCCCCTGCAGAATGTCAGATGGCTTCACATGCCCTATCCAAGCACCTCAAAAAGGTGGTAGATTTTGCATCCTAAATCTGCTCTGGGGAATCAACGAGGTGTGAAGACACCGGGCCAGATTTACCAGCTGTCCCCCAGACAACTCATTTATCTGTCAGGATTATTTCTCCTGCTCTAAGGATTACTTCTCCCGGTGCTCAGGCAGCTCCAAAAGCCCAGGAAGGGTTTATCAGGAACCATTTGTGCCTGTGGTCTCAGGGATGGAAGCAGGAGACGCAGCCAGGCTCTGGGACACCACGTGCACACGTGACAACAAACACTCCGGATAAACAAGGCTTGGGAAAACTGGAAAAGGCTCCAGGATCTGACCAGCTGCCCCTTGTCGGGGTGAGAATATCCAAGGGGAAAGCACAACCACATCCCCCTCTGAGACAGCAGCTGGAAGTCACTGTGCTAGGAGCAGGCCCCGGGAGAAAGGCGAGGAGCAGCCGTTGCGACATCGGGATGCGAACCGGATTTGGGAATAGTCCTGCCTCAGTGGGGGCTGCACCAGCAAGAGGGAAGGAAAACAGCAACTGCCGTGTCCAAGGGGCACAATACCTTATTATCTGCTTTTCTATAGCCTGGAGAGCTGCAGAGAGAGGAGAGGGAGAGAAACTCCTTCCTCCCCACCCTCTGGTAGCTCTTTAACATGACAAGCAGCTCCTCAGGCTCACGGATTTGCTCCAGCCCAGCCTGGAATTTGGCCAGCCCTGGAGAAGAAAAAATAGCAACCATCCCCTCCTGCTTTTCCTCTAATAAACAAAGGTCAGGCCTCCATGCAGCACTTGGCCACTTGGGCCTCATCCAACACGGCCAAGCGGCTCCGGAGGCCGGACCAGGATGTTGTCCAGAGCCAAGGATGGGGAAGAAGAGGAGCTTGTACAAATAAGTGCCCTGACACCACATGATTAATGAAAACAGATTAATATAGTGAGGGAAAGAGGTGGAAAAATCAGCTCTGGGTGTGCAGGAACAAGTGTTTTGCCATCTGGAAGATGATCCCAACCGCTGCTGACCCTGCTTCCCGCTCCCACCATGCAGGGACATCCTCTGGGCACTGACATCAAAGGAAGGCTTAACTTGGTATCTGGAAAAAATTATTCAGTGGGATCAGGCAGCTACTGGAGAGCGAGGAATTGCAGCAAGGATGCAGAGGGAGTCGAGGAGGGAACACCCGGGTGGCATTCCTGGAGGCCAGCCAGCCCTCACAGATCCAGCCCTGGCTTTTCCAGAGCCTCCCACGGAGGCAGGAACCTCCTCCACCACAAAATTAAGGCTGTAGGAACAAGACTACAGATTTGCTGATCCACTCCAGAGGGAATTTTTCAAGGTGGAAAGGTTGTTTTCCACGAATAATCAAAGGGTAGCTCGAGACAACAAAACCTGCCCTGCCAGCAGCCCCTTATTCAGTATTATTTATTCTGCTCTGACCCAAAGTCACAGATCAACCAGCAATTTAACACCATAATGTTTTCCAAAGGCCTATTGGCCTATTTTTTATCGTGTCTGGCTACATAAATGTTCCATCCCCACACTCCCTGCTTTTATTGAACAGCAGCAGCCTCGAGGCAACGGGAAACGTGGCTTTCAAGGCTCTGAGTAACAGATAAAATCGTGACAAAGTGCTTAAACACTCGGCTGGAAAATGAGGTTTCTCCAGCCTTACTCCAAGTTCTTGATTAGCTCTGATGACAGGAGGAGTATGGCTAATTTATGGCATTTTTCTTTCTTATTAGGGATAAGATGGAGCATCCCTGGGAGGGAAATCAGTGCCTACGAAGAGGAGCTTAAGTAAAACAGAGTTATATCTGGGAAAAGGAGCTTTAAAAAGCATCCCCGAGCTTTAAAAAGTGAGATTTAAACAACAGGGTAGCCAAGGATGCAGCTAATGAGGCATCACTTGGAAAACAACCCACACGGGGTCAAAACCTTCTGTAAACAGACACCAAAGCTCAGCAGGTTGGGAGATCAATACCCGGAGGTCCCAGCCCAGGTGTTGGCTGAGTGCTGCTGTTCTAATGTAAACCAGGATTAAATGGATCCTCGGAGCTCCCACCCGCAGTGATTTACACCACCTCTTTCTCTCTCAATGCTTTCAGAGCTTCCAAGTGGCTGCAGAGCTTTGGTGCTGCCCTGAGAGGGGGAGAAGCTCAGCTTGGCTGAGCCCTTGCAGGAGCTGCCTGCAGATGAGACTTCTGAGAGCAAGAACACCCCAGGAAAATGAGAATGAAGCCCATTTCTGCAGTGGCACCTCACGCTGGCTGCAGTTGGAGCAAAGGCTACGAGGTCCACGTGTGGAGCAGTGGGACACAAGGGAGACATTCAGCTCCAACCCCCGGAGCCACTCACCATGTGGGCAAACGATGTCTTCATTAAAATTTAACTCCTCTTCCTCCTCCCTCTTCTCTTCGTTTGATTCATCTGATGGGTGAAAAAAAAATAAATAAAAAAAATTTAGTAAGACAAGAGGATTGCCCAGAGCTCCTCTCCCAGGGAAAAATCTTATGGGGGGGAAAGGAGCGCGGTCGCCTTTCAAATTCCAGCAAAACCCTCAACCCAAGGGAAAATTTGGAAGGAAACTTGTTGTTCTCTGATGTCTTGGCCTCTGGGCAGGCGGGATTACAGCCTCCAGGCCACGTAGGAGGGCTTTGAAGTGCGTGAAGCACAAGCCAAGCCTTTGTGAGATTACAAAGGATGCATTTGTTGGGGCAGGAACACCGCGGGGGGTTCGCTGCTCCCAAGGATCTCCCGAGTTCAACCTAAACACAAGCCTAGGTAAGGGCAAAGGCAGCAGAATTCCTGGCAAAATTCCTGATCTAAACCAGATGCTGCCTGACAAACCGAGGGGGAAGCCGGCAGGGGGTTGACAAGCCCCACATCAACGTCTGAATTACAGTTAAAATCCATAACTCCACAGATGGAAGCTTCGGCCACTGAGTGGAGCATCAGGAAGACAATGAGGTGTCAGTAAGAGCCTCTAACGAGCTGCTTAAAGAGCAACTTGGCTTGTGAGTAATTCAATTGTACTACTGGGAGTTGCAACCTGCTGTAAATCAAAGGCAGCCCCGAGGAAATGTGAGTGGTAGCTCAGAAATGCCCTTGTCTCAATGAGTGCTCCACCTTACAGACATTATCGGGGGGGAGGGGTGTTCTCAGCCTCCAAGATCAATGCCATGAAACATCATCCCCACTTTCATTCCAACCAGCTTCTTGCTCTCAGCTCCAAAAAGCTCAACAAAATGTGATTTCCAAAGATTTAAAGAGCAGAAGGCAAACAACCCCCCATTTAGTCTCATGATACGGGCACAGGATTGAGGCCAATTAATGATTTTTTGTTCCTAGGCTGTGTTTTCCCAGCGCTGCTGCATCACCTGTGCTGTTTCATCCCTCAACCTTCACAATAAACATCATCATCATCCCTTTCCCCAAGGTAATTTTGATGTTTCTTCCTCCCCTGTGCTTCCTCCTTCAGAGAAAAGTGGATGAACAAATCGTGTGGCTGGGGTGGTAATTTCACACAGCTTTGTAAAACCACTTATCACCTCATCTCCCTCTCCAGGTATGAAGATCACCCCGCAGTTTTCAAGCTTAGCAAAGAAAAAGCTCCTTAAAAGGAGGAGTTTATTTGATTTATTATCCTCTCCTCCCTACTCGTACAAGGGAAACCAAACAGCTACAGAAACACCCGATGTGTCTTTTGTAGGAGGGATCGGGCAGAGCTGGTGGGTCCCTACAGCAGAAATTAGGAGGGAATCAGGAGCAAATACCTTTGTTTTGTGCATTTCCATTCATTTTGCCATTACTGTGCTCTGCATCTTCATCTTGCTCATTCAGCTGCTCCAGAGCCAGCTGCCGCCAGCTCCTCAGAGAGGTTTTTCCTACCCAAAACCCGTCGTTCCTGCAGGGAGAGAACAACCAAAATCACCACAAAAATCACAGCCCCCTTCTCCTGCAGAGCCCCAAGCGGTGAAATCTTTAGGAAAAAAGCTATTTGGGCACTTCTAAAAAGCACTTGGGACTGACATACCCCTTGACTGTGACCTTCAGCAGGTTGGTCACGGTTTTGTAGTCTTCGTTCAGCTGGTTTTTGAGCCGCAGGATTCGACACCTTTCCACCACACAGTCCTTGCAAAGTGCTTTGACTGGGGTTGGGGGGGGAAAGAAACACGATTTATAACACTATTTATTGCACAATTTATCGCACAGGTGTCTTATTGGTGGTTTGAACACCCTCAGACTGGTGTGTGCCAACTATCCTGGCTCCAGGATGGGAGATTTCATGTGTAAATGAGGAGATCCTGGGGGTTAGGGCTACATCAGGCCACATTTGAAGCTTAAATAAGCATAAAATGCTGCAGATGAGGTGAAATCTGTTTCCCTCCCTCCACAGTTCTATCTCAGTCCTGGTATCCAACACTTGCAGTAGGAGCCAGGTCAGCCCAGCACAAAGGCAAAGGCAGACACCAGGAAAACACCTGTATTGTGGCATTTTACCAGTTAAACCCAGAAAAAAACACCCTCCTGCAAAGCTGCACTGGACCAAAGGAGTGAAAATCCTGCAGCTGGGTGTGCAGTTTGTGTATTTTCATCTGGGAGCAAGAGGGGAAGGGAAGCAGCGTGTCCATCCATCCTTTTATCCCTCCCTCCCAGCCACACTCAGCCCACAGCCCTTCAGGAAATCTTCCACTTGACTAATAAACCTTGCCCTGTTTTTCCCCACAAAGGCTGCCTGCGTCACCAGCAGTTCCTTCCCTACAAGCTCCTGGTAGGAGCTGAGCTAATTTGGTCTCAGTGGGAGTTATTGAGCTCCTTCCTCAAAGGAATGAAGCCTGGGGCTCGAGGAAGGGGTGGCCAAAGCCTGAAGAGGGCTGGGCTGACCCCAAAAAGCTGGATGTGTGGTGGATGCTTCAGCAGGGGAATGCAGGCCAACAGGTCTGTGCTTTCTTGGATGAGGTGACAGACAGGAAGGGAAGGGATTTTTTGGGCCTGAATGCTCCCTGAGACTCTGCCCACACAGGAGCTGCAGGTGCTGCAGGCACAGCAAATAACTGTCAAGAGTTTGGGGGGGTTCCCTGTGCAAGCCTTATGTTCCAGAATCACCTCCAAACCTTCCAAGTGCTGGATTTTCTAAGCAATTCCTCCTGGTCCCAGCAGACCCTGCAATCCCACTCAGGGGGGTTGGGGAATGTTAACAGAATCAAGGGATATTAAAAAAATCCCGGGAAATAGCACAGCACTAAAAGCACTGAAATGACATTGTGAGGATAAAGGAGGGGTCCAAAAGGGGCTGGGAGCAGAGCAAGGCTCTAAGACATGTCCAGCACACCCAGGAGGGGACGTTACCGTTGAGCCGGGGCCCTCCCCCGTAGCGGCGGTAGAAGAAGTCGGCCACGTATTCCGAAATCCTCTTCATCAGGGATATTTTATCGGGATGGAGTTTGCCATGGGAGCACAGGCAGGCCGTGTTGTCGATAGGTTTGGGAGGAGTGGACTCATCCAGCCATTTCTGCAGCCATTCCAGAGAGATGAAGTCGTAGGGGGAACCTGGGAGGGGAGAAACCACAAAGAGGAACAAGCCCGGACGCGTCAGCTCCGACACCAGGTGGTACTTTAAAATTCCTCTTAAAAATTAACAGGCAATCAGTGTTGATTACATCTGTGAGGTACAAGTTTTCAAACATCTGATCCAGCTTCTTCTCCCACCCTGTTCTCATCTGGGTGTCAGAGATTTAGAAGACATGAGATATTAAGACGTTCAGGTCATTTCGGATTCAGCAATCAATATGGAACAGCTCCAAGGAGGAATGGGAGTGCTCTCAAACCTTTGGGGGATTACTGGAGAGCAGTCGAGGAAAGGGGAAGGTTTTCCCACCATCCATCGAGGGACTGATATAATATTTAAATTATGATCATACATGAAAGGCTTTTTCCACAACAGGGAGAGTTCATCAGGGTAATTTGAAAATTAAAAGCAACAACACAAAAGAATCGAGGTCAGTGTTCAGCCCATCCTTTCAGCACTCGAAATTCCAGTGTTTTTCTTATGATTCTGGGTGAGAAAGACTCACATATTTTAAAATTTACAGTGCAAATGGAAAACTGCTCAGATTTCTTGCTGAAGCAGAGCAGCGGCTTCGCCCTTGTTTGCTGAGGGAGAAGCACCTGCACAAAGCCAAGGTTCAGGAGCAGGTCAGTGCCTGTATGAGCAGGGAAATGGGTTTGGGTGACAGCCCTGTATCTCAGTACTGAGACACACTATTGATCCACAACTCCTCTGTGGGATACAGAGTGGGAAACTAGGAGGAAATCAGGAATTTTAAACCCATTTTTTGCTGCCTCGAAGGCAGCTCTGAAACTGCAGGGAAACGTGAGTCACATTTATCAACTGAACACAAATCCTTGACGTTTCCTGGGAAGGAGCAACAGAGAAGCGACAGGAAAACACAGCAGACAGGAAAACACTGTGTCTCCAGCTTGCACTGGAGCTCTGTGAAGCCTCTTTTCCTCCACAGCCTCAACCCGTGGCGTTTTCATCTTACGCAACGCCCTCCCCGCAGCCGTGACCTCCGGAGAATTCCAGCGCTGTCAGAACGGGTTTGCCAGTTTGGGATGAAAGCTGCCTCCCCCAGAAAGGACGTTTTTCTGGGGCAGACTCCACCAAGCTGGCAGGGAACGTGTCTGCACGGCTGCAGAGAGAGCCCCCAGCTCCAAGGGCTGCAGTGACGCTGCCTCTGGCCGTGCTGGGAGTGCTGTGCCCGGGCTGTGCCCACTGGGTGCCCCAGGGCGCTGCTTTGGGGGCCTGGCAGCTCCGAGTTGAGGCACAACAGCTTTACCTGCACTTGTAAAAAACCACCTTTTTTGGGGGATTAATTCCTCTGTCACGTTAGAAATGCCGAGAGCAAACTGTTTTGTTCCTGCTGAGGGAAAGCACAGTGGGATTGTGCTGCTGCTCCTTTCGGCAGGTGACTCAGGGCAGGTTGATCCCTCCAGCACAGCTCTGATCTCTCAGTGACATCTGAACACTGCTCAGGTTCACGGGGACTCAGGATGAGCTGTGACACCTTCCTGCTCCGGAGTTAAACACCTGCATTCCTGAACTGGAGGGGCAGATTGACAGGAGCAGGAGTTTCCCTTGGGCTACTCCAACCTCAGTGCTGGCAATAAAAGCTAAACATCGAATTCTCCAACGGGCCACACAATTAAACCCACTTTTAAGTCTTCAATTAGAATTTTCCTGGAGTTTTTAGGAGATGCACACAGTGAAATTCCACATGCTGGATAGACAGAGCAAGTGTCCCTACTCTTTTGAGGGAGATGGGAGGGAAAAACAAGGTGGGGAATAAAACCCCTTGTGCTGAGGTGACAAGGCACAAGGAGCAGAAGGAATGGATTAACCCCAGTCACTACAAAGCTGAGGGGTACTGGCAGGGATGGATCCACTAATTTTCTGCTGGAGGTCAGGCACTCTCCCAGTTACCTGCTGCTGAATTGGGATCACCAGCTCCCAAACCTGCCCTGAGCTGGCAAGTCGGGAGCAGCCAGTTCTTCTGCCTGGCTGCTCCTAACGAGCTGCTCAGCAGGCAGAAGAAAAGAGTCACAAAGCATGAGGCTGACTGATGGGGAAGGAGCAAGAGGGAATTAGCGACGCCAGAGGCCAAAAAAACCACCATATATATTAAAGGAGAAAAAAATAGGTTAAGGCAGGAAAAGCAGCGAGGGAAAACAAATCTAAGCATGCACGCGGAGCTTTCCTCTTGCAGAGGGCTGCGGGAATGCCTTCCAGGGAGGGCAAGGTTAGTCACAAATCATCACTAATCTTAACAGCTCTACTTAGAGAAACCCTCCACAATGTCTTACAGACCAGCTTCGGCGGGTAACCTTTGGTAGAGCTCCTTCACCTCCTCGTGTTTGATCTTCCCCCTGGCCACGCTCTGCTTGCGCATCTCGGCCATCTCGTTGCACCACTCCTCAAACTTGCAGTTATCCCTCTCCACCAGCTCCTGCAGGAAAGCTGGTGGGAGAGAAAAAAAGAAGAAAAAAAAAAAAAGGAAAGAATGTGAGGAGAAAATGCCAGCTCTGTTAGTTAATTACTGTGGGTTATCTGGGGATAACACACCTAAAAATTCCACTCCCGAGCGTGAGGACGTTGCTCTCGCCCAATATTGGTGGCTGTAGATGATTAAATGCAACGTTTTGCACCCAAGAAAATTATTTACTTTGGGGCTGGTTGCTGTGTTAAGGGGCAGCTCCTCTGTCCTGACAAGGATCCATCATTCCCAGAGGGGGATACACCCAGCTGGATACACCTGAGGCCTGTCCCGCCCTGTGATCCAGCACATTTTTGCAAACCCAAGGGCAAAGAGCCCTCAGGAGATGGGAGATAAGCACTCCAACAGAAAGGTGAGGGGAATGGGAATATTTGCTGTCATGGGTGGAAAAAACCCAAAAAACAAACCTCAGCAAGGAAAGAAAAAAGAAGATAAACCACTTCCCTCACAGGGCTGGTGTGAGGGGGAAGGGGGAAGCTCTGCTTATCTGAGGCCTTTTCCTATTTAGAATTATTTTGAAGAGCTAAAATATCTGCAGAAAGGTTAAATCTTGAGCAAAAAATATCCTCCTTGGGAGAATACCCAGCACTAAAAACCAACCAGCCTGACCTCCTTGAGGTCAGAGCCAAGTTGTGTCTCTCCACTGTCCTGGAAAAGCCGCTTTTTAACAGCATCAAAGCAAAAATGCCTCAAATTTACAGTTGCATGAAACCTCCCCACAACCACAGAGCTCGGAGCGCTGCCCTTCGCTCCCCGTTCCCTGGCAGGATTCCAGGGGAAACAAAGGCAACGCAGGAATTTGGAGCTGGGTGGGGAGGTTTTTGTTGAGTTATTGTTCTGGGCACAGGGGTAGGAGGAAAGGGGGAGCAAGACAGTTCAGGAAACAGGGCTGAAAATGCAGATCCAGGCAGGAATTAGTGCTAATTCCTGAAGTTTCGTGGCTTGGAGGGCGGGTTTTAGGGCTTGGGGGCTGGAAAAGGTTTGGGGGTGTTATTAGGGGGCAATAAGGTGTCTGATTTATAGGATTTACCCCCTCTGCAGAGATCCAAAGGGACCCACCACCTCTGCAGAAAAGGAAGGGGGAACACACCTCAGCACCAGGGGCCTAATTAACATTTCTAATCAAGCAGCAAACTGGGGAAGCATCATTAAATCCCCAGGCCAAGCCCCCAGGGAGCTCTGCCACCCCCACAGTTCCAAAGCACGGCCCAAATTCCTGCTCAGGGCTCCCAGCCTCTTGTTTTCACATCATTTATTCCTGATGTGGCAAAGATGAAGCAGTTGCAGAGGGAACCTGACATCTGTCAGGATTATTCACCTCCAGCACACAGCGTGCACTGCTCATGACATTTTAACCACGCTCTTCTCCCGCGCCTCTGGAATCCCGGTGGGATCCCTGCAGCAAATCCCAGGGGGATGATTTTCCTCCTGACCCCTTCCCATCCCAGCCAGCTGGTTAAGACAGAGAGGTCAGAGCAGGCACAGGGGAGGGATCAGCAGGTTAATATTCATTAAGTGCTGGGAAAGCCCAGGGGGTAACACTGGTCATGACACCGAGGGGCCACACGGCACATGGAGAGTGGGTAAAAATCATGGAGTCATCAACATCATGGAGTCATGGAATGGTTTGGGTTGGAAGGGACCTCGAAGATAATCCAGTCCCACCTCCTGCCATGGGCAGGGACACCTTCCACCAGCCCAGGTTGCTCCAAGGCCCTGTCCAACCTGGCCTTGGACACTTCCAGGGCTGGGGTAGCCACAGCTTCTCTGGGCACCCTGTGCCAGGGCCTGCCCACCCTCACAGCCAGGAATTCCTCTCCAATGTCTCATCTAAATCTCCCCTTTTAATTTAAAACTATTCCCCCTTGTCCTGTCCCTCCATCCCTTGTCCCCAGTCCCTCTCCAGCTGTCCTGGAGCCCCTTTAGGCCCTGGAAGGGGCTCTCAGGTCTCCCTGGAGCCTTCTCTTCTCCAGGTGAACCCCCCCAGCTCTCCTATCCTGGATCCAGAGCAGAGGGGCTCCAGCCCCCAAAACGAGGCTTGGAGCAAAATCCCAACCTGGGCAAACCCTGGACTGGCCTGGATTCCCAAAGCACTCACCTGGCACCTCGACAGTGAGGGATTTCTCCCTGGCCTGCAGCCTGTACACCAGCATGTAGGCATTCCGGGAGCAGTGGGTGCCCTTCCCACACTTGGGCTTCCGAGTCTGGGATTTCGACGGCTCCGCTGTGGGACAGAAGGGAAAACCCTCAGCAACACGGCAGCCTGATCCTCCTTCCACGGGCTCAGCTTGCCCCCTAGCCAGCTTCCCTCTGCCAGGCCTCTGTGCCAAGCACTGGGCTTGGCACGGCTCAAAAGCGCATCCCAAAGCAAGCTCCAAATCCCTCCAGCCTCTCTGGGTAAATCAAAGGCACTAAATTTAGGAGCCTGCTCTGAACCTCCCTTCTCCAAGAGCCTTTCTTCTCTCCCCACTGGAGCCTCTCCGAGCCAACAGCAACTCTTGGAAAAACATCCTTTCTCTCTTTTTTGCCTCTTGTTCTGGTGTCCTGACTCCAAAGGGAAAGAGTCAAATCCCCCAGGGAAGGAAATCGCATTTACAGGTGACCGTGGATGGGAAAAAAAAGAAACAAACACACAGAGCAAAGTTTTTGGGAGCCAACAGCCACGGGGAGGGTTGTTTTGGAGCAGCTGGTGGGGGATGCAAAGCTGTGTTGCAAGAGCTGCCGTTTCCAGATGGATTCTCAGGCAAGGAAAACACTCATCTCCAGCTGCAGCCTCAAAAATCAGACCCTTTTTAATAAAGGAAAAAAATTAAAGGAACAATGCTCCATAAGTCAAAGTAGAAATGGACCAATGAAACATTAAGAAGAAGTGTCTGTCTTTCCCAAATTCTGGAAAAATTCCTATGCCTCTCCTCCCACCATCCAGGGGACTTCCTAGACTTTATTTATTTGCATTTCCTCCAAGGACTTTCTAAATTGTTCCCACGTGTGGCCAGGGCTCTCCCCCCACCACAGACCTTCACTGTATGTCACTGACCTTCTCCTGCTGTTACATGGATTTGGAACAAAGAAAAGCCTCAGTTTTGCTCAGAACAGACAAATAACATCAAAACTTGATAAAAATACTGGGCTCCCAGCCTAGAGAGGCTCCTAAACACCCTTTAATTCTACCCTCCCAACAGCCTTGTATTGAAATACAAGAAATAAGAATACTGACTCGTGGTTAAGCATAAAACTTTACAAAAATCGAGGCCACAGTGGTTCATTTGCACCTTATTTTGCTGCTACGGGGAGGCTGAAAACAAAGGCTGAGCAGCTCTTTTGTTCCAGCCTTTCAGGGTTTAATTTTCCTTTACACCACTAGAGGTCTGGGCAGCTCCATCCCAGGCTGGGAGAGTCAGACATGAACGGGACAGAGCTGCTGGGGGCAGGCAGGACCATGGAATCACTGAGGCTGGAAAAGCCCTCCAAGATCACCCAGTCCCACCATTAACCCAGCGCTGTCCCCAAGTGCCACATCCACACCTTTGGAGCCCCTCCAGGGGTGGGGACTCTGCCACCTCCCTGGGCAGCCCCTTCCAGTGCCTGAGCACCCTTTCCATGAAGGAATTTTCCCTGATATCCAATCTAAATCTCTCGTGGCACAATTTATTCCCTCTCCTGTCCCTGTTCCCTGGGAGCAGAGCCCGACCCCCCCCAGCTCCCACCTCCTGTCAGAGCCAGAAGGTCCCCCCTGAGCCTCCTTTTCTCCAGGCTGAGCATCCCCAGCTCCCTCAGCTGCCCCCCAGAGGTTCTCCAGACCCTCTTCCCTGTGCTCCAGACCCTTCCCCAGCTCCATTGCCCATCCCTGGGCACAGTCAGGCAGGTGAGGTCACTGAAATGGCAGAAGGAGGTTCATGATCACACTAAACTTAATCCTTTCCCTTAAGGATGCTTTAAAGAAAGGCCACATTCCATGAATTCCAACCAAAGCAAAGCATCCTGGTGAGCCAGCGCTCCTGGGAATGGATTCCTTGCACTGCAAGTGGAATTTCTTATTAATTTCCCTGTTTTCCCCCACCGAGAAGCACCTGCACTACGGAACACTGAGCCCCTGCACAGCCCAGCACTCAAAATGCCAATTAAACACTCTCATTTATTGGCTGCAGAGTGAGAACCCAGCAGGTCCAGCCTCAGCCCAAGCTCTCCAAGAAATCCCCAGGAAATGCAGAGCAGGAACACGGTGATCTGGGCAGCACAGGACGAGCCAGCAACGGGAAAACAGAAAAGCAGAACTCAAAGGAGGTTTTGTTGAGTTATTGTTTTGGGCACAGGGGTAGGAGGAAAGGGACAGCAAGACAGCTCAGGAAACAGGGCTGAAAATGCAGATCCAGGCAGGAGTTAGTGCTAATTCCTGAAGTTTCACAGCTTGAAGGGCGAGTTTTAGGGTTGGGGGGGGCTGGAAAAGATTTGGGGATGTTATTAGGGGCAATAAGGTATCTGATTTATAGGATTTACCCCCTCTGCAGAGATCCAAAGGGACCCACCAGAGCAAAAAGGCAGTTTTAGCTTCCAACTTGTTATTTGGATCAAGATTTTTGTTTTGAACTGCCTCTAAGCCAGACAGCTCAGTGGAAATAAGGCCATAACAAGTTAAGGAAACTGAAAGTATTCCCATTATCAGTTCCCCACCAGCTGAGGAAGCAGTGCTTGCCTGTTGCACCCCGATAGGAGCTGCAGCCCGAGTTATCAGCACCTTATCTGCCATGTGGCAGCCAGAGAAATACTAGTGGAGCTGCTCACGAGGTGTAAACACTCACACAGGGCCGAAACCCAGCAAATCTGGCTGCAATCCCCAGAAGTGCCGCTTCACACCCTCCTCAGAGCCACGACATCACCCGGGAGCTTCGGGGAGCAACAGGAGGCTGGACCCGTGGCTTTGGGGAAAGGAGCTGCTTGAAAAGGGCACTGACAGCTGAAAGGTTTTACCTAGATCTTCCTCAATGCCCAGCTGCAGCTTCTTGCCCTCCATCTTCTCGATGTCCTCGTCGTTGAACTTGTACCACTCGCCCGTCTGCGGGTCCTTGACGTGGGCGATGTAGTGGCCGGAGTAGGCGCTGACGCCGCGGTGGATGAGGACGGCGCTCAGCTCGTACACGTACACACCATCTGCAAGGGCACCAGCACCGCTCACACACAGCTCCAGGGCCAGCAGCACAAAGCCCTGCTTCCCCAAAGCTCTGAGTCTGCACCCGGCAGCAAACGCCGCACTCAAACTTGCAGCTTCCCGGGACCTCGCTAAGGAGGTTGTGGCTTCCACGAGCCACTTAATGAGGATGTTTGTTTGAAACACAGGCTTCAAACAGCTCTTGGCATCATTTCCCATCAAAAAGAGGATTCAGAGGAACCACAGAACAGCTTGAGTTGGAAGAGACCTTAAAGCCCATTTTGTTCTACGGGCAGGAACACCTCCCACCAGCCCAGGTTGCTCCAAGCCCCATCCAACCTGGCCTTGGACACTTCCAGGGATCCAGGGGCAGCCACAGCTTCTCTGGGCACCCTGTGCCAGGGCCTGCCCATCCTCACAGCCAGGAATTCCTTCCCAATATCCCATCCAACCCTGCCCTCCTGAGCTACAGGCGCTCCAAGCCCCACACAGGTCACTGGCACTGCAGAAAGATGGGTGTGTACAGACTCCTCCAGCACAGATAAAGAAGGAAATTCCTGGCTCCAAGGGAAGGATTTCTTCTTAAACAGAATCCCAGAGACCTCTCATCTGCTGACAGACTACGGGTAAAGACAACAACCAACCTCCCCAAACTCACTTTTCTGCTCCATGAAAGGCTCCATGTCCAGCAGCTCCGAGAAGCCAATGTAGGTGTTCAGCTTCTTCTTGTGACCAGTTTGCCTGTGCAGGGGCAAAGCTTCGGCTCAGGGCACAGCAACAACAGCTCAGCCCCCACAAATAACACCCCCTGACCACCCCAGAGAAGCTCAGACACCCCCTGACCCCTCAATTAAAGCAGGAAGAGCCGAGCAGGTGCTTCCCAAAGGGCTTGCAGGGTGTTCCCACTGACCTGTCGAACACGAAGCGCATGAGCTGCAGGTTGAGGGTGCAGGGCAGGCTGAGCAGGCGGATCTTCCTCGTGGCATTCTGCTTGCTCTGACAAGTCTCACAAAAGTAACGATTGTCCCCTTCTAATTTTTCTTCCTGAGTGTGGAGAGAGGGAGAGGGAGAGGTGTGGAGAACAGCTCAGCACCGAAAAGCCAACTGAGCCACTCGAGAGCTGGAGACTGAAAGCAGCGAAGTGATTTGAACTGTTTGAGTCTCTTTCCGGCTGCTCTTCCCTAATTAATCTCTCAGTTAAAAGACACACTAATAACTGCACATTGCAGCATGGCCAGAGCAGGTCTGCTCTCACTTTAAGGACAATTTTAGACCGATTCCAAGTTGTCAGGTCTCTCACCAGACCAGCAGGTTTGCTCTTTGCTTCACTGGGTTGGTTTAGACCAAAAGAAAATAATTAAATCACCCCTTTTACGACTTCACGTGGCCCAAGTTAATGCAAAGCCACATTTCAGCCTGCAAGCTCCAACCCTCTGCTCAGCCACCCAAAATCACCCTGCAAGAGTCACCATCTGAGCCTAAGCAGACCCAAGGGCAGGATTAGTCCAGAGGAGAATTCCAACCCCCCCAAACAAGGTCACCGGGTGGTTTTGGGTGAAGGAGGAGCAGACAAACATCAAGTTCACCAATTCAGGCGTTTTAATTCGTGCACCCAAACCAGTTTTTTTTCATGGCAGACCTTCCACAGGCAGAGCAACCGGTTTGCTGAGTGCAGCAGCAGCAGCCAGGGAGCTCAGGGGCAGGGGCTCAGCTTAGCTGTGTCCTAAAGATTGCGAGTGGAATCCGCACCTCAGCGTGCTGGAGCTGAACTTCGGATGCAGGCAAATTTTCAAGCTGAATTAGGAGCCCTTGCAGCTGTTCCCAAAGCTATTCCCGGCGCTCCCCAGTATTTCTGAGAGCACGTTTTCCAGCAGGGAATGTCTCCTGTTGCTGTGCAGATGAGCACTGACACAGAAAACACAGAACCCAGCCCTTCTCCCCGTGCTATCCGTGGCAAAGCACGCAGGGACTTATTCCCAACTTTCCTGGGAAAGAATTTTAACTTAAAATGCAGCTTCCAAGTGCTTTTTAAAGCCATAACACAAACAAGGAGTGGCTCTGTGCCTCAATCCTCATTTTTTTGCGTCCCACAGAAAGAAACATTTTCACTTGGATGCATCTGACTGAGCCAACTTGCTCCAATGCCGACCTCGAAGGCTGTGAATTGGAGGAAGGAATTTAAACTCCTGGCTAAAAATAGCAGCATTCCAACCCCAACGAGCTCCTACCTTGAGGAATTCTGTTATACAGTCTGTCAGCTGTTTGTGTCCTTGGATGTTTAACTCCAGCTCGTAAAATTTGGACACCAGTTTGGATTCTCTGCCACACTGGTTGCAGCTGGGATTGGAAAGAAGACAAAGATATCTGAGGGCAGGTCATGGTTCATGTGTCCCAGCCACAAGTTAAATATTCCTTGGACAACACCAGGAGGAAAAAGTGGTGCAAATGGCACAACAGCAGCTACCAGGACCTGTTACAGCTCACATGCATCGTTTTGTACCATTTTTGAGGTGAAATCTGCACCATTTGCTGTCATTTTTAAGGTGAAATCTGCAGGTCTGAGAATGCAGGAGTGAAAATACAACCCCCAGGATGCCCTTTTCTGGCTGCAGGATTCGCCATTCCCTTAACTCACTTGCAGGTTTAACTGGTGAATTTTCATTAAAGGACTAAAAGCAGCTGGAGAAGTGAGACAGCAACAACACAGGTATAGAAACAGGACATTAAAAGCTTAAAAATCCCTCAGAAAAGGCTTCTGCAGCAGCTCACCTGCCTGGTCCCACTGCAGGAGGGATCTTCCCCTCTCAAATCCTTCTGAAAAATTCAAATATTCACCAGAAGGTTCTTCCCAAAGGCAATACTCACACAGTGACATAGGCATACTCTCCACAGAACTGCTTCTGCACGATGTTCCTGACATCTGGGTTTTTCTGTTTGGATAAAGTATCTTCCAGTAGGGACATGAACAGCTTGGAAAACTCCTGGGCATCCTAAAAAGAGAGAAACCCGAGTTCATTAACAACCCCACCACAGCACAGCCACAGCCCTGGCACTAATTAACTACTAATTACCCCGAGCCCCATACACAGGCTGCACCCAGGCTCTGTGCACTGAATGGAAAATGAAGACTAGTTGGGAGAATTGAAGAGAAAAAAAAGAGGAATTTGGCTAAAAGGAGTGTGAGGCCCCCAGGGTGGGAGCAGGGCTGAGCTGCCCTGGCCCCCAGCCAGCCCTGCCGGGGGGTTTGACTCCTGCCCTGCTCTTCCCAGGGCTCTGGAAGGAATAAAAACCCTCCTGGGGAGCTTTCTGGCCCCTTGAGTCTTGGTTTTCCAAGCTCAGCTTGCAGAGCCAGCGCTCCCTGCTCGGAGCAGAGGGGAGCAGGGCAATGAAAACACCCCAAAACCGAGGCTGCCCCGAGGTTGATCCCTGCCAGGCTCCCGAGCTTCCCCACGCCCAGCTCGGGAGTTTCCTCTCCCACCCTGGCTCTGTTCTTCCAAAAACAAACAGCTTTTGGCCTCTCCCAGCTGCCCTTTTGGTGTCCCTGGTTGGCAGGGACTGTTTCCTTCCCCTCCTGGTCCTCCCAAGGAATTCCCTGCTGGTGCTCCGGCCCTTCCTCCAACCACCTCTGTTATTTCTCCAAGTGGATTTCCAAGCCCCTCTCCCGAGCTCTCTCCAGCTGCAGCCCCACAGGATCCTACAGCACTTTTACCCTGGCTGGCTCCCAGTGATCCCACCAGGATCTCCTCGCCCTGGGAGGGCCCTAAAACCTCCCCAACCACCCACTGGGGTGGAACAGATCGTGGGACACCCACAAGAGGACCCTCACGGCAGCTCTGGCTCCTCCCTGGCTCAGTGCCAGGGCCACCAGGCACTACAGCATTCCCTGTCTCCATCCCATCACTCCCTCATCTCCTGTCCTCGTCCCATCGCTCTTTGTCCTCATCCCATCACTCCCTGGCCCCATCCCATCGCTCCCTGGCCCCATCCCATCGCTCCCTCTCTCCATCCCATCGCTCCCTCGCCCCATCCCATCACTCCCTGGCCCCATCCCATCGCTCCCTGGCCCCATCCCATCGCTCTCTGGCCCCCTCTTGACCCCGCTGTGCTCCGGAAGGGCCCAGAACCCCACTCCTCCCTTCATGTTTGCCCCCAGCAGCAAGACCCGGCTGAGGAACAGCCAAACCAAGATCCAAGGGCAATTCCAGGTCCCTGGAATGGCCAGGCCCCCACGCACCTGCTGCTGGGCCGTGTCCAGCCCCAGGGCCTTGACGAAGGCCGAGGGGTCGATGTAGCGCCGTTTGCTGTTCTGCAGCAGCGCAAACAGGTACTGCAGGTGCTCACAGATACTCTGGGGCTCGTAGTCTGGGGGAAAACACAAGGCACAGCCAGGAATTCAGGACAGGGAGGGATTGATCCAGGTGTTTTGCCCGTTCTGGCTTTGTCAGGGTGAGTTTTGTGACTAGAAATGGTGGGTTTAGTTGTCGGGAGAACTGAAAAGGGTTCGTGTTGGTGATGAGGGCAAATCCCAGCACATGGGATTTAGGTTAGAATGATTTAGGTTGGAAAACACCCTTGGGATCACGGAGTCCAACTGTAAATATTTGCTCTCTGCACCTCCCTGACAGGAGGGTGGAGCTGAGGGGGGTCGGGCTCTGTTCCCAGGGAACAAGGGACAGGAGGAGAGGAAATGGCCTTGAGCTGTGCCAGGGTAGGTTTAGGGAAAATTCCTTCATGGAAAAATTCCTTCATGCTCAGGCATGGAAGGGGCTGCCCAGGCAGGTGGTGGAGTCCCCATCCCTGTAGGTTTTCCTGAAACATGTGGATGTGGCACTTGGGGACATGGTTTAGGGATGAACAGGGCAGTGCTGGGGGAATGGTTGGGCTTGATGATCTTGGAGGGCTTTTCCAGCCTCAGTGATTCCATGATTCCATCCCACAGAGCCCAGCACGAGCTGGGAGTGAGGGGTTTAAGCAGCACATGCTTCTGATTTACCCAAAATGGTGAAACATCATTAAAACCACCGTAAACCAGCAGGACTGAGGTGGCTGTGCTGACCCAGAGCACCCACAGGGAGCAGCTGGGAGCCTCAATCCTACCTGGAATCTCAATTCCTGCCCTCCCATGGGATAAGTGCAGCTCTCTGAGAGCCCAGGTCAGCCCTGATCCATGTGTTCCACCCCCAGCACCACCACTGCAGCTTCCCCCCCTAAAAACCCTCCTGCTGAGCCTATCCCAGAGCCAACACCCAGTGTGGGGAGGAAAGGAGGGTCTTCCCCTCTCCCAGGAGGACGTGCCACCCACCTGTGTCCTTGGGGACGCCGTCGCTGCAGGCGCTGGGACACAGGTAGAGCGCCTGGCGCAGCTCCAGGTTCAGGAACCACATCTGCAGGAAGGTGTTCACGTAGCACGTGGCCCCCAGGTTGGTCAGGCCCACGAAGGCGTTCTGTGGGGTGGGGGTGGGACACACAAAGGGTCAGGAGCGGCCTCCCCTCGTCCCCTGGCGCCGGGGAAGGCAGGGGGTGGGTTTTTGGGGGGGGTTTCGGGGGGTACCTTCTTGCGGCGCTCGCAGTTGGGGTCGTCGATGTTGTGGAAGCTGTTCTCGTCGATCTCGCCCAGCCACACGTGCTCCCCGATGCCCACCAGGCAGTTGGGGTTCCCCCGGCAGTTCCTCCTGGGAGAACGGACCCCAAGTGTCACCCCCACGTCCCCCTGGGGGCGGGGGGAGGGGGCAGGGCAAGGGGGGGCCCCGTTAGGATGAAGGGAGGGAATGCAGTGGGATACGGTCACATCCACCCTGAAAATGGTGGTTATAGGGACAAAAAAAGGGGATGGAGAAGGTCAGAGGGAGGGGAAGGGGGAACCCAGGGATGTAGGGGCGGGTCCCCTATATCTGAGGAGTCAGGCAACAAGAGGGATCTGCCAGATTTGAGGAGCCAGGCAGGGAGAGGGGTCCCCCACAACCCCAAGGTGGAAGAGTCCCTACATCTCAAGAGTTAGGCAAGGACAGGGGTTCCCTAAACTCCAGGGGTTCCCCCATATCTGAGGAGCCAGGCAGGGATAGAAGTTCCCTACAACCCCAGGGTCCCCCAATACGTGGAGAGGAACAAGCAAGGAGAGGTGTCCCCTGCAACCCCACTGGAGGGATTCCCCTATATCTGAAGGGCTGAGCAACGAGGGGTCCCCCCCAATGCCAGGGTGGTGCCCTGAATTTGGGGAGCCAGGCAGGGACAGGGGGTTCCCCCAACCCGAGGGATCCCCTAAATCCGTGGAGCTGCACAGGGAGGGCTGAGCCCCCCCCTCCCCAAAACCCGAGGGATCCCTAAAGGGCAGGGAGCCCCCCCATCTCGGGGGGGGAGGGAGTACGGGGGGACCCCAGGTCGGAGGAGCCCCAAACTCCGAAGACGGGCAGAGAGGGGGGTTCAGTGCCCGGGGAAGCCCCCAAACCCCAGGGGTGGGCGGAGGGAGGTGCTGGGTGCCCAGGGGACGCCCCGGCCCCCCTGGGGCGGCGCGGGAGGGGCCGTGCGGCGGTACCGGCAGGCTCCGCGCTGGCAGGGCTCCAGCCGGACGCGATAGGCCGCCTCGATGTGCTCCTGCGCCACCGCCTCGGGCGGCACCGTCTCGGTCCAGCGCCACGCCGCCTTCTCCAGCTGCAGCCGCGGCGCCATCGCCGCCGGTGCCCGCGGGGCCGCCCGGCACGGCCCGTCCCCGGCCCGTCCCCGGCCTTGTCCCGGTCCTTGTCCCGGTCCGGCCCCGGTCCCGCCCGGCCCCTCCCGCCGCCCTCAGGGCCGATGACGACACGAGCGCGACGCGCGCGAGGCGCTGACGTTGCGGGGCAGGGCCGCGCGAGCCGAAAGGGGCGGGGCTTGTGCCGTCATGGGCGGGGCTTGGAAATTCAACGGGAGGGCTTGTGCTCTCCGGGGGCGGGGCTTGGGCACGGGGGCGGGGCTTGGGCTCGCTGTGGGCGGGGTTTGGGGCAGAACACAGAGCGGGTTTGTGGCGCGTGGGGCGGGGCTTCATGCCAAGGGGGCGTGGCCTGTCCGTACTCGGGGCAGCGCTGGGTCCTAGTGCCCGCCCGCCCGCCGCGCCATGCAGCCCCGAGCAGAAACGATAAGTCCTTTGCCCCCCGACACACCCCCAGCAAGTCTATGGCACGCCCCGAACTGTGCCATAGCACCCTGAACGCCTATACACCCTCCACCCCCTACACCCTCATATTACACCCCTTGCACCCCAATGCCTCACACCCCAGACCTTCTGCCCCCCCACCATAACCCCCACACCGTCCCTCTCCCACACTACACCTGTCCTGCAGCCCAACAAAAAACCCTTCCATCCTGCAGCCCCTATTCCGTAACCCCCCACACAGCCCCCACACCATTCCTCCCACCCCAAAATCCTCCCACTGTCCCCACTCGAGCCCCACACCATCCCCCCTCTATACCACGCCTCTCCTCTACCCCCACAGCACTCCCCAAACATCATCCCCCGTACTCCTACATCACCCCCAGACCCTCATACCCCCATCCCATTCCCCCTGCTCCCCAATTCCACCCCTCTTCCACACCAACCCCTATAACCTGAACCCCTGCACCCCCACCCCATTTCCCCTACCCCCTCCCAGCCCCCCGCGCCCCAAAGCCCCGACAGAGCCCCCCAGACACGGCAGCCGCAGTGGTTGTCTCTCCTTTAATAGCTGTCCCCGCGGGGGGGTTCCCCCAGCACCCCGATTGTCCCTCGCGCCCCCCCCGGCCCCCGCACCACCCCGGGGGCCCCAGGCGGCCCGGCCGCCCCGGCACAGCTTCGGGGGCCGCTGGGAGAGGGTGTAAGCATTTTTGGGGGTCCCGGCCCCCCCCCGGGCTCACCCCGGGGCAGCGAAGCACCGTTTCCTCCTGACGGTTTTGTGGTTTTTTTTTTTTTTGGAAAAGAGTAAAATCGGCCAAATTCCCCCCAAACTGTGTTCTGGAGGGGTCATTAGGAGGGGCAGGGGGGCACGGGGGCCCCCCCCACGGCGCCGTGCCGCAGGTCGATGGGGTGGGGGGGGATCCCGGCGGACTCCAGCGCCAGTCCCCGCACGCAGCCCGAGATCCCGGAGCTGAACTTGCCCGCGGTGAGGGCGCGGGGGTCGGGGGCTCCGCCTGGGGGGACACGGGGGGCACGTTTTGGGGGGGCACGCCCTGGGCTGGGCCATGTCCTGGCCCCGGGCACCTGCCCTCGGCCAGCCCACGGCCCAGCAGTGGCCTCATCCCGTGTCCCATCCATGTGCACCCTGTGTCCCACCCCGTGTCCATCCCATGGCCCATCCCCTGTCCTACCCTGTGTCCCACTCCATGTCCACCCCATGTCCCACCCCGTGTCCATTCCATGTCCTATCTTGTGTCCCACCCAGTGTCATCAGGCATCCCATGTCCCACACAGTGTCCCACCCCATATTCATCCCACGTCCCACCCTGTGTCCTACCCAGTGTCCTATCCCACGTGTCGTCCATCCCGCGTCCCACCCTGTGTCTCACCCCGTGTCCATCCCACGTTCCATTCCATGTCCATCCCATCTCCACCCCATGAATGCCCCACGTCCCATCTTATGTTCCACTTGGTGTCCCACCCCATCTCCTATCCCATGTCCCACTGTCCCTCCCACATCCCCCCGTGTCCCACATACCCACGTAGACGTCGCCCTCGGTGTTGGCCATGATGTTGGATCCGGGGGATTCCCCACTCACCGGCTCCTCCCCGTCCACCTGGAGCTGCCCACGCCGGCCCTCCCTGCGGGGCACAGTCAGCACCCACACCCCAACCCCAACCCCGACCCCCAGCCCCTCCCGACCCCACCCACCTGGTCACCGTCACCCGGTGCCACTCGCCGTCGTTGACAGGATCCTCAGAGACGATGGTGGCCTCGCCACTGCCCAGCTGGTAACTGTGTGGGGGGCATGGGGTCAGCCTGGGGGGCCCCTCGGGGGGCACAGGTACCCCGGTCACCCCTGGGCCCCGCTCACCTGAACACCAGGTGCCCGTCCTTCAACCCCAGTCCCAGGAAATCTTTGGCTTTGCCGCCCTCGCCAGGCTCCTGCGGGCACAGGGAGGGCTGAGCGGGCTGGGGGCACCCCGACCCCCTGCCCTGAGGGGGCTGAGCCCCCCCAGAGCCCACCCTGGCCCCCCGAGCTCACCATGCCGTGCCACAGCAGCAGCCCGTGGGCGCTGAGCGTCCGCAGCTCCAGCTCGATGGTCTCGGGCGCCTCGGGGGGGCTGTGAGGGGAGGGGTTGGTGGGGGACACCACCCAAAAAAAGGGGTTATGCCGTGGGGAGGGGGGTGCAGCACCCAAAAATGGGGGTGATGCCATGGGTGGGGGTGCAGCCCCTGCTCAGGGTGTCCTGTCCCCGGTGTCACTCACCCACGGGGGAAGAGGTGCCCGGGAAGAGCCAGGTAGGATCCGTCCTGGAACGTGGCACTGAACTGTCCTGGGGCGTCTGGGGGTTACATGGAGGGTCAAGGGGAGTGGGGTGAAGAGGGCATCCCACCCAGCCTTTGGGTGGAAAATGGGGGAGATGGGAGCAGGGACCCACCGCCGCCCCCGCTGCCCTCCTGCCAGTCGTGCTCCAGCTGTGCCAGCGCCGAGCCTGCGGGAGAGAGGGGAGATGGGGGACACGTGTGCCCTCCGTGTCCCCAGTGCCCCCTCCACGTCTCCAACTGTCCTCAAGTACCCCCCTCGTGTGTCCCCAGGTGTCCCCAAGTGCCCTCCCAGTGTCTCCAGGTGTTCCCCCATCTCCCCAGGTGTCTCCAAGTGTCCCAGATATCCCCAAATACTCCCCACGAGTGTATCTATCCCCAGTAGTGTCCCCAGCTGCCCTCCCCATGTCCCCAGGTGTCCCTCCATCTCCCCATGTATCCCCAAGTGTTCCCCATGTGTGTCTCCTCTGCTGTGTCCCCAAGTGTCCTCCCCATGTCCCCAGGTGTCTCCAAATGCCCTCAGGTGTCCCCAGGTATGTCTCCCCAGTGTCCCCAGGTGGCTTCAAGTCCCTAAGTACCCCGAAGGATTCCCCAAGTGTGTGTCCCCGCCATGTCCCCAGGTGTCCCCCTGTGTCCCCAGATGTCCCCAAGGGTCTCCAGGTGTTCCTACGTGTCCCCAGCTCACCGTGTCCCCAGGTGTCTCCAAGTGTCCCCAAAACCCCCGTCCTGTGTCCCCATCCCTGTGTCTTTTCACATCCCCTTGTGTCCCCCCACGTCCCCAGGTGACCTGACCCCTCTCTCTGTGTCCCCAAGTGTCGCCAGGTGTTCCCCGCTGCCCCCCTGTCCCCGTGTCCCCTCACGGTGCTGGCAGTGTCCCCAGGTGTTCCCGGTGCCCCCCCTGCCCCCTGTCCCCGTGTCCCCTCACGGTGCTGGCAGCGGGCCCCGCCGTGCCCGGGGGGGCAGTGGCAGGAGCCGTGGGCGCAGGTGCCGCCGTGCAGGCAGGGCCGGGAGGGCCCGCAGGCCTCGGCCTCCTCCTCCTCCTCCTCCTGCTCACAGCGCGGGCCTGGGGACAGTGGGGACAGCGGGGACACCGTGACACGGTGGCACAGCGGTGGGGGGACACGGCACACGCATGCACATGGCATGTGGGGCACCCGGGCACGGGGGCTGCGGGGCACACGTGTGCGAGCTGTGTGTGCACGCACGGCACGTGTGTCTGCAGGGCATGCACAGGCACAGCACACACAGAGCACACACTGCACACACAGTGCACACACACAGAGCACACACACAGAGCACACACAGTGCACACACTGTGCACACACAGAGCACACACACAGAGCACACACAGAGCACACACAGAGCACACACAGAGCACACACAGTGCACACACAGAGCACACACAGAGCACACACAGAGCACACACAGAGCACACAGAGTGCACACACAGAGCACACACACACAGCACACACAGTGCACACACACAGAGCACACACACAGAGCACACACAGTGCACACACAGAGCACACACAGTGCACACACACAGAGCACACACACAGTGCACACACACAGTGCACACACAGTGCACACACAGTGCACACACACAGTGCACACACAGTGCACACACACTGCATACACACAGTGCACACACAGTGCACACACACAGTGCACACACAGTGCACACATAGAGCGCACACACAGTGCACACACACAGAGCACACACTGCACACACACAGAGCACACAGAGCACACACACAGAGCACACACAGCACACACACACAGAGCACACACAGAGCACACACACACAGCACACACAGTGCATACACAGAGCACACACAGAGCACACACACACAGTGCACACACACAGTGCACACACAGTGCACACACAGAGCACACACAGCACACACACAGAGCACACACACAGTGCACACACACAGTGCACACACAGCACACACATGTTCACACATGCACACACAGCACACACGTGCTCGCAGTACATGCATGCCCAGTGCCCATCCCCCACATGCACACACCCTTGCTCACACACAGAGCGCACACACGGCACACACACCTGCACCGTGTACCCACTGTGTGCACAGCACACGTGCTCGAATGCACATACATGTGCAGCGCGTGTGTGCACAGCGCAGGTGCGTACACACACGCAGGGGCATGCACAGTGCACACGAGCACACACCAGAGCACACAGGCACACACGCATGTGCACCGCCCACAGAGCACACCCCACGCGCAGCACGTGCACACACACACA